AGAGCTAAGCTAATCTAAGCTAAGCTAGGCTAACTAATCTAATTAAACTAATTCGACTAATTATTACACAACAAGATAAAGAGATAGCTAAGCTAAGCTAAGCTACTCAATTATTACAACACTTTAACTAATTAACAAACTAAGTAATCAAATTACAACAACATGCTAACTAAACATGTAAAGCTCTAACTACACTGCCTCAGCTCTGCTTGGAAATTAGAAGATGCATGCCTCAATTTTCACCCTGAAAAGCCTTCTGGTTTGCTCTTGAGAGGCTCTGTTTACAGGGTTACTCCAAGAACTCTCTGCACTATTTTACCAAATCACTGCTGGGGAGTGCACCAGTGGCCTGCCGGCCATGGGAGCTTGCTGCCGGCCACCTGCCGGCCAAGGATGAAGCAGTGCCGACCATCAGTGAGGCACTGCCGGCCACTGGTGTGCTGCATCACCATTTTGCAACAGAGCTCAAACAGAGGGAAAATGAGGGTTTTCCAAGGACATGTTTGTACTATGCCCCTTCTTATTATCTCAAAACATCAAAGGAGATGTACTATTGGATCCAAAACCACCAATCAAGCATTTTTTATGCATGATGGCCAAGAATCCAACTTGTACACTTTTAATAAATGCACAAATATGACACAAAGGACCACCCCCTATCATGCATGATCAAGGGCAATGGAGACAAAGGAGATTGGCTCATTTCTTCACTTTGAGTATGAAATGGACCAATCTACCTTGTGTTCAATATAACGTCCAATTAAACACAATGCAATGTAACACAACAAAACTTATCTTGCACAAGTTTTACTTTGCTCAATTCTTGTTTACACATTTTACATTACCGATTAATCCTTTAACCGATTAAGTCCAATGTGAAAGTCCTCTAATTGGAAAGATAGTCTAAGCCACAAGTGTCTTGAGCGTGAAAGAGGTCTTATGCTGTTGGTTAGTAGAAACCCTCAAGAGAGGATTAAAACCATTAGGCATGAGTGCCTCAATTTCATGCTTAAGCCAACAAGGGGCTCAAGACCACTTTCAAAAGCAAATTCAAAAGTGAAGAACAAAGAGAGGTTGAAGAATTTTCAGTGTTGAAATGGCATGAAAAGTAGTGCTATAACATGTAAGCAACACATACACAACATGTTAAGGGCCAAAAGCACCAAAGCTAGTGAATGACACAACACTAGAGGCATGCAATACAATGCTCAAATGACCAAAGCCAGCTCAAAACAGAGCTACATCATGCCAAAATAGTGGACTAATCATGCTGAAACTTAGGCACAAAAGGCAAGAAAAACATGCTCGCATGTTGGCTCACAAACAAGACACAAAACACAACTCTCAAAAGCAATGAAAGAGTGGAATATGTGAGAGTGTGACAGTTGTTTATGCACTGAAATTACATATAAAATGATGCTACAACATGCAAGCAACACATGCACAACATGTTAGAGGCCTTAAAACATAAAGCTAGTGAAGCCAACTACACTATAGCCATGCAAGGCAAAGCATATATGATCAAGACCACTCAAAACAGAGTTAAAGCATGACAAAATATGAGCAAAAGCATGCTGAGATAGAGCTAACACAAGCTAGAATGATAGACTAACTCATTATGCATGTTAAGCTAGTAAGCATGATTACACTACAAGTGTAAGAAGCAAGCAACAAGTGACTTAACCAGCCAAAAACAGAGCTAAAGAAGGTCAAAAAAGTCACAAAAACATGCTGAGATCAAGCCATGAGATGGTAGAAAAACACGCTCACATGTTTGGCCATCAACACATGCAAACAAAACACAAGGAGGGGAGGCCACCCCCTCCTATTTTGGACCTCAAAACAAAGTTTTTACCACTGAAAAACCTCTGAGTTTCAGTGGTTAAAAGGCCAAAAGAGTTGGTTTGAAAGGTGATAAAAGATGGCACAAAAAGCTTTACAAGCTAAAGAGCCAAAATAGGGGACAACCCCCTAACTCACAAAGGCTCAAACCACCATTTTTAGGAGTGAAAAACAAAAAATTTTACATGCCAAAACAAGCCTTGAAATGGTGGAAAAAGATGGCAAAGCAAGTATGAAGAACAAGCTTAAAGGGAGAGAGTTATACCTCTTGAAGCACAGACCAATTTCAGGCAACAAGAGCAAGCAATATGACCTTCAAGAGCTCCAAGGAGGCTCCAAGAGAGCTTCAAGCAACCTCAACCCAAAGATGAACCATTTTTGTTAAGGGTTGATAGATTAAAAATTGATGTATGCAAGCTTTTAAGCACAAAAGCTTTAGAGAGAGAGAAATCTAGACAGAGGATTGTAGAGAAAGAAGCTCCCAAACTTCTTCCTCAATTGTTCTAACCTCTCAAAACCATAGATAAGGCTCTCTATATATAGAAAAATACAAGCTTTGGTCAAAATATCTGATCATAGGACAGCTGGAGCAATGTGGAGACAGCTGGAGGTAAATATCTGCAAAAAATCTGAGTTTCTGCATCAATGGCCGATAGGCCATCATTAATGGCCGGCACTTCATCATCCATGGCCGGAAAGGGTCACTCTTGGACAGCAGGGGACCAGAAATGGCCATTCATGGCCGGCACATGGCCAGAAAATCCCATTCATGACCAGCAACCTCCACCTTTGGTTAGCCAGAAAAATCTGCTTTTTGGGCCCAACTTCAAATGGGAATATCTCCTTCATCTGGACCCCTTTGCAGGTTATTCTTGAGCCTAAATTGAATCCCCGGAAATAATCTTTCCAATGGTGGCAATCTCACTTCAAAATTCCAAGTGTGAAAAAAGTTATGCCCCTTTTAGTGAAGGCTGCTCAGTTTCAATCTTACTCGGATTCATGCCGAACTTCTCCCAAACTAGTTTTCTTCTCTCCTCTCCTCTTTTCTTCAACTCTAAACCTTTAAATAAGGTTTTTTGAAATATTTTCAAAGAGTTTAGCTCTCTTCCATTCACTTCCACTTTGTCCTTGCTCGGTTTACCGAAAAGCGCAACATTTAACGAAATGCGAGCCTCAGAACATCGTAAGAACGTTTTCAAAAATGTTTTGAAAGAGAGGGTTTTAAGGTCTAAAATCTTTTTGGTCAAATGGCTTTGGTCCAAAAAAGGAGGTGTAAGGTTGGGATTTGACTCTCTCCTTGCCGAAGCAATTGAACATTTGCATTGCACAACTTTTATCACCAAGTAAACAATCAGAAGCGCCCAAGTCTTAAGGATAGTCAAAAATAGGGTGTCTACACTCATAGCATTTCCTGGTTTACTTCGCTCTAGCTCTGCCTGCCATCTCTTTTCCTTTCCTAACCTAATCCTCTTTGGTAGGCATATAGCCAAGACCAAAGGTATGTGGATAATGTTGCACATCAGCCAGTACTGTGACGACTTTCTGGCCACTTCTTCCCAACCCCATTCTTGGCATATGTTGGAGCTTGTTCATGAAATAGATTGATTGGGCACTGACATACAAGCCCTCATCTGTTGCCAAGATGTTCTGCACTGCCCGGGCTTCAACTAGGGTAAATTCAGAAAGGAAAACATCCTCTTCACCATGAACAATTTCTAGTACAGATGTAGTTACCTCTAGTGGAGAATAGATAGATGAATTTCTGAACACAATAGCCACCCCCTTTCCATGGGGGGGTATTTCAGCATTTGGTGGAGGGTAGAGGAGACAACTTTTACTTAGTGTAGCCACGGCCTTCCTAGCAATAAATTGAAAGTGGTCGGCACATCCAGGATGTGGAACTCAATATCCTATTGAGCTGGACCCACTTGAACTCTGATATGTACTGTACCGTGCCCATAACCCATTTCTTCAATTTTGCATACAATTTCCTTTCTCGAAGTGTCTGAAGGATCAAACGAAGATGATTCTCATGAGCTTCTGCATTCTTCGAGTAAATGAGGATGTCATCGATAAATACTACTAAAAACTCATCCAGATAAGGCTTGAAGACACAATTCATAAAATCCATAAACGCTGCTGGTGCGTTGGTAACTCCAAAGGGCATAACCAAAAATTCATAGTGACCGTATCGGGTTCAAAAAGTTGTCTTCTCCACATCGTCAGCTTTGACCTTCAGTTGGTGGTATTCAGATCGTAAATCAATTTTTGAAAAGACTTGTGCCCCTTGTAGCTGGTCAAACAAATCATCGATCCGCGGCAATAGGTACTTATTTTTAATCGTTACCTTATTAAGTTCCCTGTAATCTATACATAATCGGAGTGTTCCGTCTTTCTTTTTCACAAACAGAACTGGTGCACCCCATGGAGAGACACTCAGGTGAATGAACCCCTTATCTAGTAAATCTTGCAACTGAGTCTTTAATTCCTTCATTTCAACTGGTGACATCCGATACGGAGTTTTAGAAATGGGTTGAGTTCTCGGTATCACTTCAATTGTAAATTCAATTTCACGATCCACTAACTCCCCTGGTAACTCCTCCGGGAAAACATCCGGAAATTCACGAACAATTAGAATCATATCGGTATTCCTATTCATCACTTGCCCCTCCAAAACATTGCATAAATAACACTAACACCCTTTCTGAATTAATTTATAAGCCTTCATTGCAGAAATCAAATAAGGTGGAGAAGTCACTCCATGTCCCTGAAAGGTAAATTCTGATTGTCCCGAAGGATGAAAACTGATTTGCTTAGTCAAACAGTTAATAGTTGCACCATATTCACTCAGCCAATCCATACCCAGAATAATATCGAAGTGAGTCATGTCAAGAGACAATAAGTTGGCATATACCCGGATATCCCCAATTAGGAGTTCACAAGCAAAGTATACAGAGGTACAGATCATAGAATCCCCAAAGGTGAGGACACACATAACATATAGGATAATACTTCTTTAGATCTATCTAACTTTTGAGCAAATAGTTTTGACACAAAGGAATGGGTAGAGCCAGAATCAAACAATACATGAGCAGAGTGACCGTGAACAATAAATGTACCTGACACCACTGTTGCAGCATTTTGCACATCTCTCGGAACTAATGCAAACACCCTCCCTTGTCTCGCGGTGTCTTTGTTGTTAACAGGCTTGACGGCTGACTTGGTGTTGGGAGCTGGCGTAGACCCTGCTCAGCCCTATTGCCATTTTGTTGATTCCTCTGAGGGCAATCCCTTACTAAGTGACCCGTTTTGCCACATCTAAAATAGGCTCCAGACTTCCGATAGCAAGTTCCACGATGCTTCTTCCCATATTCTGAACAAACAGGGATTGAATCTAGAGCAAAGGTGGACGTGGCAGAAGTGCCTGAGTTTTGTTTCTTGTTAGGTGGAGTAGTTGACCCCTTTGACCATTGATTGTTCTGCCTCTTCCCTTTCCATTTCGAAATCCGATTTTGAGTAGCAAGGTTTCCCTTCGCTATAACAGCCCTTTCCAACACATCAACGTAGGTGGGCAACTTCAACATATTGACTCGGTCAAGGATGGCATTCCGTAATCCCCTTTCAAATTTGTGTGCTTTCTTATAATCCATATCCACCATATGAGGTGCAAACCGAGCTAGCTCCCCGAATTGGGCCTCATACTCCGCAACAATTTTATTTCCTTGTCTGAGGGTTTCAAATTTTGTCACCTTCTTGTCTCGTATACTTTGAGGAAAGTACTTGTCATAAAACAGTTCTAAGAATCTGTCCCATGTTAATCCCTGGTGTACAGTTCTCGTAAGCATCCACCACTTCCATGCTTCATTTTCAAGAGTGAAGGCAGCAAGTTGCACTTTTTGGGCCTCGGTACAAGGAAAAACTTTAAACAACTTTTCTATTCCCAACACCCACGCTTCAGCTTTCATCGGTTCTATTCCTCCCTTGAATGATGGTAGCTTCATCTTTTTAAATTATTTCGTAAGCGTAATGGTTCGGTCCTCAGCATGGAAATCTTGTACCACAGGTGGAGGTACCGGTGGTGGTGGCGGCTGTGGCTGTGGCTGTTGCTGTTGTTGTTGTTGTCGTAAAGTCTCCGCCATTTCCATGATTATTCTTTCCATTCTGTCTAACCGTGTAGAAGTGGCATCTTCCGGGTCTTCCGTTCTTGTTCTCACCATATTCTACATGACAATCAATTACAATATACACAAGAAATATACAATGGACATGAAGCATATTGGAGTTAGCAGATGTTACATATACAATTAACGTTGCCATCAATCTTTCCATACATATTCAGGTTATTATGCATGATGCCTAAGTCTTTTCTAAACATCCTAAGGCTCAAGGGATTTGTGTGTGAGATAGCAACTCTTGCTCTGATACCACTTGTCACACCCTAAACCCGCCCCTAAAAGTTTGGGAATGATCACTTCAAAAACGAACATCAAATTCAATATGTATAACATATGGGGCTTGAATGGAAGCATTTAACAATACAAAATAACATCCATTGAGCTAATACTAACATGCCAGGATCACACATGTAATATCAGGTAATTTATTGCATAGTAAACACACATGTAGTTATATATGTATACACAAATATACAGACCCATCCCCGAGTCTGAGGATGTAACAAAACTAGGTTAAGAGAAGTGTATCATGTTTTACAACATCAGACAAAAGATTTAGTGCACCAAACTAAAGCTCTACAAGAAATCCACAAAAATGAATGAGCCTCATCTAAATGTTTGGTCGTGGTGAAATGAGCAAAAGACAAGTGGTCTAAGCCGGACTAGGACTGACCTCCGGATTGAGTACCTACAGAGACAGACATAACACGGAATGAGCGAAGCTCAGGGAATAATAGCACTTAAACAATGTAATGATTAACTTGAACCATAATGTATATAAATGCAGAGAACGTATGATTAATCTTATTCTGTAACTATTTCCAGAACGGCCTGGGGCCCGGTCTTTAAACAGAGTGGCTTCAAGCCCAGTAACATACAGAACGGCCTTAGGCCTAACAGATTTCCAACAGATTTTACAGATTGGCCTTAGGCCCAGATATCAACAAAGCAGAGTAATTCCGGAGTCGTACCAATGTACGCTGATTTTCCAATCATTTATAAATGTTAACGTAATGAACTCGCAAAGAACAGAGCGTTAATAATAATTATTAACGGTAGGTAAATGCACAACTGCGGCACTAGTACTCACTGTGCTGTAGTGGGGTGATAGTCCCTCCCAGATTGTGACCTACACACATGCACAACTCACAAATTAGTTCATTTCCCTTTTTAAATCACTTTTGATTCGTTTCGTTTCAAATGAATTTACAAACATTTAAAGACATCAAATACAGATTTCAATAATATCAGAGGGTCATGCACGTAAAACGGAGTAGATAAAATTTCCCAACATGGGCCGCACGTGCGGCTGTGAGCCCCGCACGTGCAGCGATTTGCCCTGTTTTGCAGTCCGAAATTCAAGCAACTTTTCAACTTGGCAAACTCAATACAAAGCATAAAATAAGGGGAAATTCATGCAATATAATGGCTCAACATTACAGTAACTTGGGTTACAAGTGTGTAATGCTACTAGGATCATAAGTCACAAGCTCAATTAAGTTAACCCTTTCCAATTTCACAACCACAACTCAATTCCCTTAAACATACAAACAATACACATGCATAAACATGTAATTTCAACATAAGAATTCAAGGAATTTGTCATAATTTCTCCATATAATCCAAAGTACCTCCAAACAACTAAATGCTAAGAATGCTTCCCAAGAGAACAATACCCACATACTTGGTCTCAATGACAAACTCCATGTAAGTAAGTGAAGTTTAAGAAGAGGTTAAAGAGAAGGTGATTCATACATACCTTGGCCCAAATCTTTACAAACTCTCTCAATTCCTACTTTTCTTTCTTGAAGAACTTCTCCTCTTCCTCTTAAACTCTCTTCTTCTCTCTAACCCTCTCTCAAGAGATGTTTTACATAATGGCTCTAAATCAAATATGTAAAGAACATGGATATACATCTAAAATGTGAATAAGGACGAAAATTAATCAGTTTAATCATTCCAAATCAAATTTTTACAAAAATGCATATTATAACTTAAAAATTATGCTGATCTCAAATATAAAGTCAATTTCAGATAATTAAGCTTCTAAGGCTTCCAATTTCTTATCTAAACATCTCAATTGTAACAGATTTTTCCCCTAGGTAACAGATATAGTTCCATAACCATATTTTTCACACAATTAAGTTTAAGCTCACGCGGGATTCCACATTAGCCAGATAAATACACAATATAAGGGACAAAAAGTATACTAGAAAGCATATAGAGGGTCGGGTTATTACAAATGGTGTCAATGGACAATTTGGCTTTGTCCATTACTGATAATACAGCATGTCGATGTACTCGAGAAGCCATGAGCAGACCCCAGATTGAAATATCGGCTTGAATCTTCTTCAGCTGTTTCAGCACTACTTCTTCTTCCAACTGTTTTTCCTTCTGCCTCTCAACCTCTTTATCCTTTTCGGAGGCTTTAGCTTGGTCCAAATGTGGGGGCTTGAAGTACTGCCCACTTCTAGTTATATGGTCTATCTCTTCGGAGTACCAGGTATTGTCTGGTAGGTCCTCACCCCAATCCTCATCAGTGTGGGCCAAACGTAGATCATCATCTTCCCACCATACACCTCTGGCAACCGACAAACAATTGTTCGGTTCCGATCTGATTATTTTCTCATCAAAAACATCCCCTGCAGGGTGTTGAGCTGTTCCAGCTTTATGTTTGTCTAGATCCTTTTCTTGCACAAACCGCTTCAGTGCGGCTTCCTGTTCTTATATCTGTGGTACTCACGGCGCCCAGTTTTTGCGCTAAATTCTTAATACCAGTGCTCTTCGGCAGTTTTCCCTTTTTCTCGGCCCTTTCGGCCACTACAATTGTTCTTGCTTCCTTTTCTTCAGGTTTTGATTCGGTTTCTTCCTCTTTGTCAGGCTCGTTACTAAGCCACCCGGAGTTATCTGTCGACCTATTCAGATCAAACCAGTCAATCTGCATGTCCCTCTGATCTTGTTCGTCGTAGAATTGCAGATTGTCTAAGTCTTCTTCTAGCTCTGCTAGATCATTTAGACCTTGGCTTGGGCCATCATCTCGAACCACATTAACCTCCACTACCGTTGGCAATACCACTTCGGGTTTGGCTTGATCCACTGGCACAATGTAACAGCACGGGTCATACACTCCCTTAGGTAAGTCCATAGAGCTCTTAGGCAATGGATTGACATTCTCCTCCAAGGCTAACCTCCCTCCTTCTGCCATTGTCACCACCACAAGTCTATACTTTCAGGAATGAACACGACTGGTTTGGGTAGGTAAGAAGGGGTAATATATACGCTAGGATCATATGGGATGGCCAGTGTATGTATTAGATTTAAGTGTCAGGGTGGAGGAACCTTGTTATGGGCTGGAAGAGGGTTGGTGGTTACATTTGGCTTTTGGGGTGATGTTATCACCTTGTTGTCAATGAAATCTTGAATCTCATGACGCAGCCTGTAACATTAGTCGGTGTCATGACTGTGCTGCTGGTGAAAAGCACAGTATTTGGCTGCCTGCCAAGCAAGCTGTGCGCCTCGGGCTGGGAATGCAATAGGATACTCTATCCCCTCTGGCGGGCAGGTCTGATCATGGCCAAATTGGCGACGAATCCGAAATGGGAAGTAGAATACACAGTGAGTGAGACCAACCAATTGAATCCCAGTCTGCCGGGGCATATTGTAACTCATTGCCGAAAGGCTCAACCAAGGGCACCGCCAAGCAATACGGTCTGCGGACAAGCGGCACATCCAAGCGAACCACCATCCCTTATCCAAGGCATTGACTAAACGGTGCCGGAAGAAGTAGCCGCGAGTTGAATATGCTGGGCAAGAGTCCACAACCTGCAGTTTGTCCATCAACCATACCTAGGGAGGATTGAAAAATGAGAGAGTAAAGAATAGAGAGATGTACGAGGAGAGAAAAGTGAGAATGGGGTTTTGTGAGAAAAGACCGAGCTTGAGGGCCGAGTGATGTGAGCAATACATAAATGCGAGATTGGGTGGGAAACATTACCTGTAGTAGTAGTGGACTTCCTGCTAATCTGGTCGTCTCATGGCGATAAAAGGCGTCTAAGCCCATTAACGTCTCGGCCAGAGTCATCGCAATACAGCTCTTGCTCTCCCTCAAGCCTTGGGCAACCTCAATCAGCCGGACATTAGCCCCTCCAGAGCCTGAGACGAATAGAAAATAGGATAGCATGCACAAGCAGAGGGCATGTCGCCGGAAGCCTTGCCAGTGATGGTTGTTACGATCACCAGCATCAGAAAATCGATTGGCCAAACTCGGAATGTCCAACATCCCGTCACAAATTAGGGACCGAGCGTCACGCATGCTGAGTCCACACATGCGCCCTAAGGATTGGGCATGGACAAAATTAAGTTGGGGCAGGAGCTCCTCGTCGCGCTCGGACTCCATTAAGGCTCGGAAATCTTCAAAAGTAGGACATATCTCTTGCCCGGCGAAGCTGAAGACATGTGTCACCGGATTCAAAACCTTGCCGCGACATAAAGAAACGGGAGGTGCAATGGGGTGCGACCCCGAGTGAATAGTGCATTTATGCCAAAACCCCGGAAATTCACTTTTTCCGAGCCATCCAAGCTAGCAATCCAAGCTGTGAGATTTTGAGCAAGGAACTCTTCCATTGGAGCAAATCAGGGTGAAAATGAGAAAAACTACGAAGCTGGGGTCTTTTGTAGGAGATAAGGTTGAGTGGGGGGACAGGTGTCAACATTCTGGTGATCCCCTCATTAAGTGCCGGCCGGCCAAACTCTTTGCCGACCGACCATATTAGTTTGCCGACCAAGCAATTTCATGGCCGGTAGCCATTCCTTGCAGCCGGTGGTCT